AAAAAAAGCGTCAACATTCACAGGTCCAGCTTTTGATATGGAATTTTCGCATGGACCTAGGCTGCTGGTTACAGCTTTTTTTGTTGTTTGTCCTCTTCTTCTTGACAGACTGCGTGAAAAACACATTAGGACTCATTTACGCGCGTCAAATATGCCAGAATGCGGCAGAGCCTGTGTCCCGCAGGACTTTCAATTTAAGCAAAAAAGAAAATGGCAGGGGAAACGCAGTCTTTCTCTCACTTTGACACACAGCGCTGACAAGTCGCGATTCTCACACCCAGCAATTTAGGCTGCCGCCCATAGGTGGCGCTGTTGTGCAATTTGCGCTTTTTGAAGTGCACACAATTGCGTAACTTATAGCCCCGGGTCAAATTACACAGTCACAGTCACAGTCACAGGCAATAGCAGCAGCAGCCACTTGCCAAGTGCCCATTAACAGGTACTTCACTTTGTGCCCAGCTGAAGAGCAGCAGCAGCAGCAACAACCCCTTGATGCTCATAGTTGGTGCCATGAATGAAATACCAGCATTTGGCATGGCACATCGACAAGATTTAACGCCGCCGTTTTCATTATTAATGATTAATGATAAGCAAACCAGCCGAGAGCAACCCTTCTCTGCTGCTGGTCGTACTTTTATCCTGTTCCTGTTCGTGTTCGTGCTCCTGTTCTCTGTTCTCTGTTCTCGGCACACAATCGCACGCGCTCAAGCTTTTGGCAAACACTAAGCGCTGCTTTTCGCGCCTTTCCACGTGATTAAAGGCAAACGACGAGGCTGAGATGGCGACATCAACCACGTCACACAGTCACCCAAATATCGGCACTTTCACACGCAAATGTACATAAAACAAACTACGGCAGCGTGTACTTTACCGCCACACCAACACCCACCCAGCCCACCCTGTCGAGCAAAGGGTTAAAACCCTGCCGTACGCAAGGCGTTACCCAAAATATTTTGGCTCAACGCGTGGCTTATTGCTGGGCAATGGGTTGAGCTGTGAATGGTTGGTCCTGCTGCTGCTGCTGCTGGTGCGTGCGCTGGCCAAGTTTTGGTTCATTAGAGCGCAATGATTGGCCTCATTTGGATTAATCAAGTGTTTTCATTGACTCGCAAGCTGCGCTGCAATTACGAAAGCAATCGCAAAATACTTTGAATTTTAGATTGAATTGAAGCTGCCAAGAAGCACTCCATGCTTATGAATCCATTGTTGAATTTAAATACCTCAGCTTAAGCCGAAAATTGTATTTACATTAAAGCTTGAGCAGACATACAAGAGAAGCTTAAGGTTAGGTTCTTAGCTCATCTCTTGATCAGGCTTAACTTTACAATTTTCATTTTTTTAAATCGTATGTTAATCTTTTTGTTACCCAACTGGAGCTAGCCATGGATTAAATCTGTCATCATCTCGTTGACGTTCTAACAGATATATGTTTATAAATCTCTCTTTAGTCTTTTTGCTCAGTGCCAGACACAGAAGTCTATTTTTAATTTTATTTGATGATCTCAAATCTAAGATAAAGAATCTTTGAATTCTATCTGTGCACTTCCATCTAACTTCCACACCGTTCTACTGTGATCTTCTGGTCCGCTTCTTGTTCCCTTCTTTCGTAATGCTTCAAGATCTATTTAATAATATTCTCTCATATAACTTAACACAACATTAAAATAAGCTCATTTGCTATTGTCACATATTACAAGTATTTTTTTATTTTGCCAGCAAGTGGGAAGTGTTTACTTCACGCCCAAGCCCAAAATCTATCATCGCTTTACCCCACCGCCCCCTCATCTTCATCGTCATCGGCCTATGAGCACTTTCATCTGGCATAAAGCTTCAATGTTGACGTTGCCGCCATTTGTCGTGTTTTTGCCACTTACGCAGTCGCTTTGCCATTAACGTGTCTGCCCCTGCCCCTGCCTCGCAACTGGCCCAACTCCTGCTTTACCATTTGTGCCTGCTCGACCCACTTACGCCTGGCGATGCCAACTGATAAAAATTGATGCAAAATACGCAAAAAGTCGCGAAAATCCTCGTGGAAAATTTTCAAAATTTTCACAGCTGATTGTGCAAGTGCGGCACACACACATACACACACACGGGACACGCGGGGCGCACGACCGGTTGCTTCTTTTTGCATATGCCTTACACCCGTCTGTACCAAACACTATCTCTCTCTCTCTCTCTCTCTCTCGCTCTCAGTCTCTCGTTCTCCCTCTGTCTTACTGACAATGTGCATGGCATTATTTCTGGCATCGCCATACTCTGTGCTCCCCCCGGACAGTTCCTTTGCTGAACTTTGCTTGTTTGCATTTGCGTATCATCGACGCATGTCGCGAGGCATCGCTGGCTCGCTTCTGGCTGCCTGGCTGTCTGGATGGGCGTCCCGGTCCTGGTCCTGGTCCGGATTGTCCTGACTGGTTGCCGACAACAATAATTCAGGCGAATTGCGTGCTGCGATGGGAAATGCCTTTAATCTGTTGGAGTTGCCAACTGTCACGAAGCGAAATGAATGGAAATCACACGCACTAATGGCAGACGGAGCTGGACTCGAACCCGGCGACAAGGACTCGAACTCCCATCCGTAGCTGCTATGCCTCAAACCGCTTAATGGCGGCCTCTTTTTTTTTGTTGCTGTCGCTGTTGCTGTTGCCATGGCATCAACTTTACGCAATGTCTAATTCGATTTGTTCTACGCCAACACTTTCATAATTTTCCATGTCCTTGCCGCTGTCTATTACAGGCTGAACTGGAACTGAAAACGGACGACGGGCTGGCTGCCTTATCTGCCATCTCGTTGCGCTGCGCTGTGCCTAACCTCAAGTCTAACCCCGTAGCCCACTGTCTATGTTGTCTCTGGTTTTTTATACACTTGCCCTAGACAAGGGGCCCACATGCTATCGCTGGCAATCAATCTGCCCGGCGAACATATCTCAACTTTTGCGTTTTTCAATCTGAGCATTTTGTGGGCTAAGTAAGTCCGCGATGGCCCCGTGCCGATGCCGATTCCGATGGCGTTGTTCCTTGGGCGTAGCCATCGCAGTCACCGTCCCCGTCACCGTCGCAGTGGCTGTCACTTTCGCTGGCACAAGGTTTTAAGGCTGCAAGCTATGTGGCCGCCCAGCGGGAGGCCTTTTTTGATGTCACAAAAGGATTCACTTGATATTCATCAACATCAGTGTCTGTCAAACAGTCAGTCAGTCAGGCAGTCATTCAATACGCCAGACCAAGAGAAAGAGTCCCAGTCCCAGTCCAAGTCCCAGTCCCAATTTCAATCCCAATCCCAATCCCAGACCCAACTCCAACGTCCATTTCATGTCATGTTGGTCTATTCGCTCGTGGGCTGCTCTCTCGTTTTCTCTCTCTTTCTCTCTCTCTCCCTTTCTGTTTGGGTGTGGGTGTTTCAGTAGACCCCGTTGCAATTTGATGCGTCTGGCTCGCATGTGCAACGAGAGAGAATTATATGCCAACGCGTTGGCGATACTAATCTGATTAGTGTCAAAGAAAAAAGCAGCAAAAAAAAATCGCTTCAATTGCAGACAGACAGCACTGACAGGCCCAGCAAACCGGGGCGTCCGCAATTGAGCACTTTATGAGTGATGTCCTATGTGATTAGAGTTTGGTTTCATAACTGGATCAACTGGTTAGCGGTTGCACTTATTTATATTTCCTTCAAGCCCTATGCAAATCGATTTGCTACCCAGCTGGAGCTAGCGACGGACCGTACGTAGGTTCGGCATATATAAATCCCCATTTGGTCATACATTAGCTATAGAGTGGGAACAGTTTTCATATTCTCTCTCTCACTCTCTCACTCACTTACTCTTAGACTCTTAGCTCTTAATTCTTTGCTGCTCTCAGCTGCGAAAGACTACGAAAGTTGTATAAAAGATCCGAAGAGAGAAGCAAGTTTAGATTTTAGCAGTTATGTTAGTCTTTCTGCCACCCAGCTGAAGCTAGCCATGGATCGTAGTTCTCGCCGAAAGGTCTGGCAAATATATGTATGTATATATGGTAAATCTCTCCTGAGTCGCATATTAGCTTTGGAATAAAAGACACTTTCTTTCTTATTTTCAGCTGGGGATGTCTGCGAAACTTCTATGTGAGATCTTGGCAGATCAAAAGACAGAAACGAGTTTAGATTTTAGCGTATCAATCTAAACAAGTAAGAGGTTCTAGTCGGGAGCTCCCGACTAGGGGATACCCTGAACCCTCTTCTTCCAACATCAAATGCATATATATATTCTATTTTAGAAGCTATTTGTCAATTTTGGTGACTCTAGCTCTTATTATTTGCCAAAATTGCCCAAAATACAGGATATCGATATCAATTTTTATCGATTGCTTGGAAACGGAGTTTCGATTATCGGAAACAAACTCGATCTGCGCGGGAACTAAGAACACCTACATCTAAAATTTCAAGTCTCTTAAAGGTTATAGGTTCTGAGATCCTTGCGTTCATACATACGGACGGACGGACGGACAGACAGACGGACATGGCTAGATCGACTCGGCTATTGATACTGATCAAGAATATATATACTTTATAGGGTCGGAAATGCTTCCTTCTGCCTATTACATACATTTGGATTTTGCACAAATACAATATACCCTTATAGCCATTTTTAATGGGTTCAGGGTATAATTAATAGTAAATATTGGTAGTAAAATCACGAATAAGATTTATTTATTGGTTTGAAAAAGATTCTTTGAAACAAATAGTTTACTTAACATGTACAGAATGCAGCTAGAGTAATTGCAAAGGCAGCTCTGGCTAGGTTTAAGGTATCTGCTAGTCGGGCACATCCGATCAGAAAGCTATTACCTAATAATTACTATGTTAACGAAGCGAGATTCATACTTTCCCTCTCCAACTCCCATTTGATCGACGATTTAGAATCCGGAAACAATGTTGTTTTTTATAATTGGTCACTAGCTCAATGCATATGTAATATTTGTTGATTTAATTTACCTTGTTTTTGCATATTAATACCGAGTGGAAATTTGCGCTTAAATGCGAGCTGCTTGCAGTTGCAATCTTAGTGCAGTGCCAGATACAGACGCTGCAAGATCGGCGACATCATGTTTGCAAATCTGTTTTGCTTGGTAAGTTCGCGATTTTATAAGCTCTACATTTCTAAGCTCTATTTTCATATAGCTGCTGCTCGTTGTCTTTGCCAACGCGGCGCCGTCGGGGAAGATAACAGGCCGTATTGAAGGAGGTACCTTTAGTCTGACGCCTCTTGATGACGACAAATACTTACTAAAGTAAAGTGCACTACTAAGATTTATTTATATTTTGCACACTAATAATTTAATGATTGGCATATAGAACTACCCGGGAGGGCACTGTGAAAGAAGAGATCGTGACACAGACGAATCGTGATGTGTTTCGAGTGAGGTGCTACACCGTCGAGTCAATTCCGTACGGAAGTTTTATTATTACCTATGATCAATCTCTCAAGGTGTATAATGCAAGTTTTTATTGTGAAAAGACAGAGTTTCCATCTGGACGGGGTGGTGGTACTCTAAGCGGAGGTTGTTTAAAATGTACCACAGGTTAAAACAATTTACAAGTTTGAAAGCATCTCAAAAATTGTGCTCATACATATTCAGATTAGTTTTATGAATTGTTGTTGCCTTTATTTTAATATGAAACACACAAGAAGGTAGTTTAAAATTTGTATAAGAATTTTATATAGAATCTTACTGTTGATAATAGCTTTGTCTGAAGTATAAAAGCGATTATTAGATAATATTTACAGTTCGACTCTGTTTGGTTTGAAATTTTAAATAAAAATGTTACAATTTTAACAGGTATTAAACCGTGTTTTTTATAACCGGAATAATTCAAAAATCGATATCTTTCCCCGTTTCCAAGAAATCGATATCGAAATCCTAATTTTTGAGTAATAGCACTAACCATACACTAACCATTAGTGGTAACAGCCTCTGTCCACTGGTTTAAGAAATGTCACATTTTCAAATTTCACATATTGGTGTTCCACCGGTTGTCGATAACATGTGAGTGGCAAAAGTACCGCTTCTTTAAATAAACCGCTGATCGAGTTGCATTAATTTACATAAGCTCCGCAATCTTTTTCTTCCAAAAGTCAAAAATTGCGCTTTCGAAGTAAGGGCTCCATTGTAGGTACTCTTTTAGACATTTTGCCATGTTTAAATTCAAAAAACAGTGGGATTATTCTAATTTTAAATTTCTTATTTAAAGTTGCCGCTTCACTTAGTTTATATATCAGCTGATACTATCACATTTTTCACAACATCGATAGAAATCTCGATTAATCATGGCAAAAAACAAGAAGTGTTCGGGGCGAATGAAATGTATTTTGTTATGGGAAAACGTACAGGCCGCATTTTACACATTTTGCAAAAATGTGACATTTTCAGAAATGTGTAAGAAATGTGTTCAGTGGACAGAGGCTATTCATCTCGTAAGTTATCAGAGCTTAAGCCACAAAAATTGATATATAGCTCAAATAGGTTAAATAGCATATGTGTATATATGTAATATCTTTTATCTTGTAGATATAGCCAATCCGCGCTATAAATCAAATAAATAAGCCAATTGGAACTAACCACCAATTTAGGCCACAATTTTAATGTAATGTAAACACAAGTGCCCAAATCGCGAGAATTTCTCTACACATGTACACACACACAAATTCATGCGCGTCTTTATTAAGTTCTATTTACAGCATTGCAATTCTATTTCTATTTTAATTAGTGATTTTTTCATTAATAATTAAGTGTCGGACTGGCTGTCGAGTTGAGGCGGTGGCAAGTAGTGCGGTCTTTTACGGGTGCGGCTCTTATTGAGGGACATTTTTTTCTTTTTATTTTTATATATTATTATTTTTGATTCTTAAGCAAATGAGCGCATTTGGTGTTGCTAGAAGAGGGTCGAGCGTATACCCTAGTCGAGAACACCCAACTAGAGCCTTTCACTTTCTGTAGATGTACAGAATGCAGCTAGATTTAGGGTAGCTGCTAGTCGGATGCGGCCGACCAGAGCGCTGTTACTTAATGATTATAGCGAAATTTTTCTTTTAATGCATATGTAATGTTTGTTAATTTAATTAACCTTGTTTTGCGTATTAACACGGAGTGAAAATTTGCGCTTAAATACGAGCTGCTTGCAGTTGCAAACTTAGTGCAGTGCCAGATTCAAGCACTGCAAATGGGCGACATTATGTTTGCAAATCTGTATTGCTTGGTAAGTTCTTGATTTTATAAGCTCTTCATTTCTAAGCTCTATTTTCATATAGCTGCTGCTCGTTGTCTTTGCCAACGCGGCGCCGTCGGAAAAGATAACTGGTCTTATTGAAGGAGGCACCTTTAGTTTGATGCCTCTTGTTGGCGACAAATTCTTATTGAGGTAAAGTAATTTTTTAATAGTTATTTATGTTTAACGCAAAACTAATTAACTGATTGGCATATAGAACCATCCGGGATGGCGCTGTGAAAGGAGAGATCGTGACACAGATCAATCCTGAAGAGTTTCGAGTGAGGTGCTCCACCGTCAAGTCAATTCCGTACGGACGTTTTGTTATTACCTATGATCAGACTCTCAAGGTGTATAATGCAAGCTTTAATTGTGAAAAGTCAGAGCTTCCATCTGGGCGCGGTGGTACTCTAAGCGGAGGTTGTTTAAAATGTACTACAGGTTAAACGAAATGAAGCTTACCAAAGATTATGCCCAATATAAAAGTAAAAATGTTTTAATAATATTTTCAATTTTTCCGTTAATAAAGAACGCCCGTTTGTGCTTGAAAATTTCTGCAACCGTTTTACTCAAAGTTTTATTCACTTGTGTAAAACATACTGTTGTCTTAAATGCTGATCAATGTATTCTCAAGAAAATCGTTGGGCTTTTATTGCATTCCACTGTGCGACTTGGGCCTGGGCCAGTTCTCGACAGGAACAATCTCTTTGGCCAGGCGGCATCACGCTGCGTTCAATTAAAACGCATTTAAGCGAGAATATGGACGGGTGGGCTGCTGCTAGAGGCTCAACCCCAAAACTTTGAGCGTCCTTTTAATTTAAAGGTATTTAAGGCGATCCATCATATCGTATCAGTGGGCCAGAGACATGAGCGGATGCCGGTGCCATAGCTCTGGTCGTGGTCGTAGTCGTCGCCGTGGCCGAGACGCGCACGGTTGCAACTTGATATGAGCGCAGCAATCTGTTATGCAATCGCGCAAAACGAACGCCCGCCCGTTCGTCCGTCCGTCACCCCGTGGCGCATTATATTGGCCTGTCACAAGGGAGCAATTCGATGTCTCTGGTGTTGCCGCTGCATCTCGACGAGACGACGCGACTCGGGCGGACGCATTAGTGGCGGGTCGGTGGCTGACAGCACTTGCGTTTGACTTCCAACACTTTGGGCAATTGTTTAGCCCCGAGTGCAGGAACAGAAGGCGGAACAAACGCCGGAACATAAAAATGCCAAAAAGGAAACAGAGCAACAACCAAAAAAAAAGGGATGTTCAGAGCAGGAGCAGGAGCAGGAACAGGAGCAGGAACAGGGGCGGGCGCAGGGTATGAGCCGTTGAGCCGTTGAGCGTTGACAAAAGGCCTTGCCGTTTCATTTAGCAGCCATGCAGCTAACCCAACCCCACCCCCCCCTAGCACTCCCACTCCCACCCAGCGAGCATTGCACCCCTCTGCTGTAGAGTCTCTCTCTATCTTTCTCTCTATCGCTGTCTCGGTCTGTCGCGCTGTGTTGTCGCTGTTTCCCTGGTTGTCGCCTTTCTCGCGGTCTTAAAACGATGATTAGGTTGTTATTTTAATTTGCCCATTGATATATCCTCGTCGTTGTTGTTCTGGCCTGACTTTGCCTTTGTCACAGGGTGGCTGGTGGCAGTTCAGATTGTTTGTTGCTGTTGCTGTTGTTGCTGCGCTTTGTCTTTCCAAGCGGGGTAGCATTGTCAGCGTATTTAGCAGTCACGCCGTAACCAAAAACGACGAGACGCACAGCTCAACTCGTCTTGGACTCAACTACGCGTAACGTGTCCGCAATTTGTCATCGATTTTGTATTGCAGCGTTTTGGGCGTATCGAGGGGTTGCTCGGAGTTTGGGTCTGGCAGGGAGTTTGGGTTTGGGTTTTGTGCTGCTCTGCAATGATGCGCAAATGTTTAAATTATACTAATTAATAAATTGACTTCTAATGCAAACATTTCGCACAAATGTCGAAATAATTTCGATCGACTAGGTTTGAACCGGCGACCTTGGGCCCTACTCATGCCAGCAGCTACTCAAGTAGCAAAACTTTGACAGTTTATGGTATTTTCATCACAAAAACAACAGCAACAAGCTGCGTAGCTTATTTAAATTTATTTTAATGAAGCTACAAGAAATGTGGCGACTCTCAAATTGTGGAAAGGAGGGGAGGGGCTCTGGTTGGGGGGTTGGAGGCCACGCACGCGGAAATTTCATGCCCGAACGAATTAAGCTCAGAAAGGCACGAAAGGGTTGCGAGGACACGTGAAAAGGATTGTCTGCCTGCCTGGCAGGCAGGCAGGCAGGACGACGGTGTTAATGCGCTCGCAGACAAGTGCTGCCTAGAGCTTTCTTAGTGCCACGCATTTTATGCCGTGAAAGGAGTAAATTAAATGATTAATACGCTTCGACTGTTTCCGCGTTGTGCGGCTAACGTTTAATTATCCATTTCTGGCAGAGCCGTGTCCTGGTTGGGCATTGACATTCGTTACGGTTTTACGCTTATCAGCCAACTGTCAACGCTCCGCTCGTGGCTCATTAGGCGCACTAACGAGTGGTAAGGGGGGTAGGCGGTCTGGCGGAGGCATCAGCGAATAGTGGGAATAGTAAGAAAAACATTCTCTATACCTATACATGTCTCTCTGTCTCTCTCTCTCCCTCCTCTCTCTATCACCAAGTCTCTCTCTCTTCCTTGCAAAACAAACAGCAACATTTTTTGCTTGTCAAACTGTGCAAATCAAGAGCCGTTCTGTGCGCAGGATAACAGCAGTGTGTGTGTGTGTATGTGTGTGTGCGGTCAGGAAGTGACCATGGACATGACCATCGAGTTGGGTGTGTGAATGTGCCGTGTGTATGAGTGTGTGTGTCCAATGTAAACTCCATGGTTAAATACAAACACACAATACAAATAGAAAGCTGGAACCAAATATGTTCATCGAATGGATTCAGTGTGTTTTATATGAATAAGAAGAATATATTTTCATTGGACACGGATAAGAAACATAGAAATCTCTGAATTTGTTCTTTGATCAGAAGTCCAAGGAAATAACAATAAAATGAAAACCTTTTAAAAGAAATTCAAAGCTTAACTAAATAAAAATAAATAAAATAAAGGAAAAAGCCAATAACTTAATAAACGTAAGTTCCTGCTAAGAAATTTATTTAATTTGAATTTAAATTAATGTTTTTATAAGAAATATTATAAATTAAACAATAAATAAATAAATAAAATCAAACAATTGCTTTAATTGAAACTTAAAGAAATATTTTAATATTATTTCTACATACTTCCTAAAAGCCTAGTTTATGAGTTTTCAATAAAGCTGGTATTATTATTAAGGAGCGAACTGTGGCAAAGAACTAGTTCCAAGCAAGCGCACTGCTGCACGTGCCGCACAACGCCGGGCAGTTAAGCAACACACACAGATTCCACAGAAAACACAACAAACTAAATGACGAGAAAAAAATAGTAGCTGAAAACTCGAGCGAAACCAAGCAAAACAAATACACAAAATATAAGTGAGTAGTGTGCGTGGTGTGTGTGTGTGTGTGTGTGGGAGGGCGGTGGCGAGCGGGGCTGTCAATGCCGGATGCTGCCAGTGCCCTTGCCACAATGACAACAACAATAACAACAACAAGGACAACGCCAACGAAAGCGATCCTCATTTGTATTCCAGACGCGCGCTGCGATGTGAGCGCCGCTCCGAATGCTAACAAGAATCCTCGGCACAGGCTCAGTCAGCGAGCTGATGATGAAAGTGGGTGTGTGTGGGTGTGGGTGTGTGTGTATATTTGTGTGGGTCGATATAGAGGAAGCGCCGAATGTTAAAGTCCCACGACTTAAAGCGGCACCTAAACCGAAAAAAGGAAGTCAACAGCAGCGAACTAATTGAAAATAGGCAGGAGCAAAGCCATTTTTCTTAAGGACTCGCACTAGCCGCATTTCTGTTTTTGGCAGTTTGAATAACAGCCATTTTGTGCTGTGCAAAGGTTCTTACGGCGGCTGCGCAGAACATTTTCGCAAAGATGTCCAAAAGCGTTAAGATCTTAAGTGGCCCAAATTGTTAACCGGGCCAGAACAACAATAATCAGCTGATTCTCACACACACAGCACCAATACACACACACACACACACACACCGACAGACAGACACACGCACATGGCCAGGACCTTCGTCTAGCGGAACTCGTTGCTCGTAATTCAAATGCAAAACTCGTGCGAAATTTTGTTGCCTTGTTGTCCTTGCTGCATCCTTTCGATGACGTCATCGCAGACTGAAGCAGCGAGCAGTCGGCAACTTTTGTTGTCGATTTGTAATTCAAAATTTGTTTTCGAATACATTTTCCACTTCGACATTCACACGAGCGCGCTTCCAGAATTTCAAATTTGTTTATTTTTAGCCCGCTCGCTCTCTGTCTCTCACTTCCCCCTCCCTCCCCTCCCCCGCCGCTCACTCTGTCCTTCTCTTTTTGGCTCTCCATGTTGCTGTCTTTGTCACGCTGCTTTGCTTTCACGTTGACTTTTCATTTTTATGCATGCAGCAGCCGTTAAAATTCAACAGTTTGCAAATATAAAAAAATTCGCAAAAAAAAACATAAAAACAGCTCGATACACAAATATATATGTATATATATGCATATGGGAGGCTGCAGCTGAGTGTCCATATGTGTGTATATGTATGTGTGTGCGTTTGTGTGTGTGTGTGCGTGCGTAGAAGGGCAAGGTTACGCGCACGCGACGCCTGCGACTCATAAACTAATTTATGATTATTGCACGAGAGCTGATTTTTTATGCCCTCAGCGTATCTCACAATAACCCCCCTCCCCCCGACCACACACATACATACTCTCACACTCACACACACACACATATACACGCATGTATATAGAGCAAGTGTCATCCCGTTGCGCTCCACTTTCCATTTCACTCACAGACACATCACATCTCTTCCAGACATCGCCTGCCGCCTCCTTCGTTGAGGTAGATCACGAAAAAGTTTTTATTACAGAAATTTTACTTTTCTTTCCTCTTTTTTTTTTTTGACTCATTTGTTACTTTTTTTCTTTGCACACAGCCACACACACACACACACACACAGGCGCACAGCATTTGTGCTTTTGTTTATTGTGCGATTTTATGAGCCGGCCATAATTTGTTGTTAATATCGGAAGAGTAAGACGCAGTCTGGCTCCTGACTGCTGGCTGCTGGCACCGCATTCGAAGGAGGCTCGTCTCTGGCTCATCAGTGATGCAGACGAGCATGTGACCCACTGATATTGAAAGTTTTTATGCACTTGGCGCACACACACACACACACACACACAAACACACACACACACACTTGGCGCCGAGGAGCACAGCAAATGCAAGAGCTTTTGCTCTTGACCTTAGGCAATTTGCATGAAATGCTCATAGCAGAGAATGTGAGAGAGTGAGAGAGAGGGAGAGAGAGAGAAAGGGTTGTATGGGAGGGAGAATCGCATCCCATTGGCATAATGATGAGCTGG